CGACCTGGTCCTTCGAAAAGTCTACGAGAACACCAAAGAAGAGAATGTCGGGAAACTCGGCGCAAACTAGAAAGGTCCATACATCATCACTAACGTAGTGAAACCAAGAGTTTACCGGCTCGAAGCCTTGGACGGCGAGTTGATTCCACGAGCCTGGAACTCACTCAACCTCAAAAGATACTACAGTTAGATCGGCTTCTCCTCGAGGTCGGCATCATCAAAAAAAAAATGGGAGGGAATAGTCCCTATGAACTACGAAGCGGTTTGATCCCCGAAAGGGGTACGTAGGCAACCTATCCTCGGATGGTGCAACTGCTCCCCCTCCCAAAACGCGGGGGGGGGGGGGGGGGGGGGGGGGGGGGGGGGGGGGGGGGGGGGGGGGGGGGGGGGAGACTCAATATTTCTTTTAATCTTCAAGTCGTCTTTGTTTTGTAATTCTTTGATTCAATAAAATCTCATTTTCTAAAAATATTGTGTTCATTATCATATCGGCATCCTGGCCAGATGCTCGATCCGCCTAAAGCTAGAGTCTGATCCAATTTAGCTCGGCAACTTAAAGCCAAGTCCGCCTTGCATTCTACAGTTTTACCTGTTTTCCTATATCCGAGCTATGCGTTGTTATCAGCCAAGTCAGTCTTGCATCCGCATTCGACTCGGATACTTCTAAGTGGTACCGATGAATCAACGCCGACCTGAATCGCACATCGGGTATTCACACTTAGAAGCGAAGTGGTACGAACAATCATAAGCCGGGCCTCCCGCATGTTCGTATTCACACTTCAAAGCTAGAGCCAGAATCCGCACTGCAATTCTTAAGTCATGCGAAATTAGTAAGCCGACCGAGTCGCAGTTTGTATTCGACTTGGGTCTTTTCTCAAAGTATTAAATAAACGCCGACCTCAATCGCTTTTTAATTTGTACTTAGAAATTTAATCGCATAAACTTAAGCCGATATCGTATCGATGTTATGTTCAGATTTTCATTCTAGTCAAAGATTTTTTATTAATTTAAAAATACCAGAACGGCACATGATTACATAGTACAAAAAACGAAAAGAATATTAAAAAGGCTAGTCTTCGGCTTCCTCCTGGATCTTTACCTCTTCCTTATCGGCCTCTTGACTGGCAACATGGTCGGCATTGTTAACGCCGTCTTGATCGACTTCTAGCTATTTTCCCTGGTCGGCCCCTTCCGGAGCCTTAGCCGCATCGAGCTGAGTATCACTGGAAACTTCAAGGAAGACTTCCGCCTCTTGAACTTGGAGTTCGTCTGGCGTGAAGCTGACTTCTTCGAAGGCCTCCAGTTGTGCCTTACTCTCGCCAATCAGATTTTCGATATACTCCTCCACCAGGGCCGGAAAGCTGTAACCTTGCTTACGAACGATCTCAAGCGCTTTTTTAGCTCCGATCCACTGAGCAGCCGTCAAAATTAACTCGTGGGCTTTCGCCTTTCGCGCAAGTGACTCCTTCACCTTTGCGACTAAACTCGCATAATGATTGTTCACCGTAATCGTCGCGCGCTTTGCCACTTCTTGCACGAAGGCAAGTTTCTCTTCAGCCGCAGCTTTCAGTTCGGCCTCCAGCTTCTTCTGAGAATCGGCCCTCTCTTTCTGAATCTTCTTTGCCATTCGATTGAGAAGTTTGCTTTTCTCAGCATCATCGGCGCGAACCTTCTCGAGTTCCTCAGAAGATTTATGAAGCGCAGTTTCCAGCTCGGCCCTTCTTCCCCGTTCAGCCTCGAGAGTTTCTTTAAGACTCTCCACTTCAGCTTCCACGGCCAGGAACTTCTTCGCGTCCCGGTCGTACTCATTCACGGCAGTCAACACCGTACTCAGAGCCTGTATTCACCAGAAAAAATCAACATTCAGACATTTCAAATACAGAAGGCCTGTAAAAAAGCATTCGGGATATTTTTTACCTTGGCTTGTTCATGCGTAAAACGTGCAATCGCATCACTGCGAATGTACCCGCGAGGGTGAGTAGGTGGGCCTGCCGGGTTGTCCCTTAGCTTAAGGAAATAGTCTAAGTAGGACACCGAATCGTGCAATATTGGGCTATCCCCGCGGTACTCGTAGGAAAACCCGAACGGACGTAGTTGTCTCTCAGCACGAGATCTCTTGGACGTCCGTGATTCAGAATTTTCTTCTGAACTCTGCTTCCTCGGGTTCATAGGGCTTCCATCGTCGCCTTCAGCCCCACCTACGACGACCCTGATCGTCATTCCTCCTCTGCCCTTGCTCGGTCTCTTTGTGAGCTTTCTCAATCCTCTTAGCAGCCTTCTTATCGGCCGATTTCTTAGCCTTAGCTACGTCCCTCTCAACCTTGTTCAGAGCCTCCTGCTCGGCTTCCTTAGCCACAGGATTCTTTGGATTCCGAACATTGGGAGACACTAGGGCAGTTTCCAGATCGGCCGACAGATCCTTAAAAGTGACAGACTTCATCTTCTCTCGTCGTCGGGAGCGTCGTTCAAGCGCAACTGAGAAATAAATTAAAAAGAGTCAGATCGAATGGAAAGCCCCCGGGTGTCAAAGCAGGTTTAAGTAAAAAAGAGTCAGATCAAACGAACCTCTTGTCCTCGCAATCCTTTCTTCTGTGATCTCGGGCCAAGTGATCGCGCTAATCGCAGCGAATCGATTGGAGATATCGTCGATATCGAGAGGATCGTCAACGAATGGAAGAGGCCTGTTTCCTGTAAGATAAAAAGATTCGATCAGAAACAAAAATAACAAGTTACACTGTATTTCATATCGGTCATGTCTCTACCCATGACCTCCGCCCATTTCGTTCTAATCGGGATATCTCTATTTGCCTCGGCGATGGAAAATTCGTTGATTAGCACGAAGAAATACCTATCTCTCCAATCCGCCACCTTGGTTTTGTGACCGCCAGTCACGATGTTGTATCGAGTCTTCATACTCGTATAATATGAACCCCGGTTCCTCAAATTGGCCTTCGTACGACGGGTGTTCGTCATAGCATCGAATGCTTCTCGACTCAACGGGATATCATGCCTGGTCGACATCACTAGCATGCTGACAATCAGCCGTATCGTCGCATGGGTAAACTGGCTGATCGGCATTTCTTTGTGAGCAGCAAATTCCAGAAGAAGCCTCGGGAGCGGAAACCACAGATGGAAGTCCGTGAAAAAACACTCGTGCAGACATAGCCATCCTGTAGGAGCATCCCACGGTCGCTCCGACGGGCTCGGAACCATGAAGATCACCTCAGGACCGATGTCGCATTCTTTCTTCAAGGTGACCAGTGATTCCAAGGTTGATTTGGTCGGCATCACCCCGAGAGCGTTGTCACAGATCGGCTTAACTGCCGGCTCCCCTTTTCGCCTCTTAATCTTCTCCACTGGCGGATTCATGTCGATAATTCCGAACTGATTTACTTCGTCTTCAACAATAATGGCGTTTAGCTCGTCCGAGATATCCATCTCATTCGACCCGCCTCTCACATCGTCTTCATCACGCAATTCTGGAATCTCGAATTCGACCCTGGACGATGTCTCCCCAGACCTTTGGACGATTCCAACTTGAACGTCGTGGAACCGATCGGCCGTAGCTTGCTGGTTCTTCTTTCGAACACGTTCCTGGAACGCACGATCCAACGCCGATAACTCGCTCGCATCGGAGGACCGATCCGACTCTGATTCCTCAACGACGACCCGTTTTTCCTTCGATCGGCTTTTATCGACCTGGTCGTCAACTCTCTTCGATGCCGATCTGATTTCTTCTGAGCCTGGTCGTCTTTTTCTGATTTGAATACTCTTACCCATGCTTGATCGGCGTTCAGAACGAAACACGGCGGAGGTCTAGTCGGCAGATCAAAAAATTTAAACAAAAGAAGAACAAGGGAGAGGGGAGAGAGCAAACCTGATTTTGACAGAGTTTCGCTAGAAATGCAGAAGTGAGGAAATTGAAGCCGAGCCCTCTTATTTATAGAAATATCTGGACGGTTACCGAGAATCATCATGAGCACGGCGACTCTCCACATTTCTTCTTATTAAATTTTAATCGGTTTCTTCACTTTCACCCGCTAGGGTTTGACACGTGTCAACCCTAGTTCTGCATGCGCGGACCTAGGCCTAACCTACATTATTTTTAGGCGGGAACTTTTCGCGCCCAAAACCACAATCTGGCCCTCGTCACTGCGCCGATCAGAAGTCCAGGTAATAACTTCATTTATATTTCTAACTCTTTTGCAGCCGACCAAAATTCATATCGAGCAACATTTCTTTAAATTCGACAAGCAATACATCCTCACTTGCCGAACTGGGGGGGGGGGGGGGGGGGGGGGGGGGGGGGGGGGACTTACTGTTAGAGATGAGATTTGTACCGTCTCTAACAAGCCCGATATGAATTTTAGTCGGCCCATCTAACAAGTTCCAGGTCGGTAACATAAAAGGAAAGCTTCTATTTATCAAGCGACCCGGCGAAAAAGGAAACTCCTTACCGACAAGAGTTTCCTATTCCGAACAGGTTGAAGACCGATCTGATCGGCTATAAATATAGGAAGTCCTCGACTTCTCAATCCATCCAAAAATAATCAATCGACCTAGAGCAAAACTTAGCGATCAGACTGTTCTAGTTCTCAATTTACTTCCTTAAACAGTTTTAGGTCGGCGTTCTTTTTCCGACGACCTAAAACACCGTTATATTCAACCAAGCTCCGGTTTCTTCTAATAAAAGATCTCTTTAAAACCCTCAAACCCTAGTTTTTCTATAAGTTGGACTTGAGTCTTGAGTTTTTACAGTCACAAATTTATTAATAGGTACATATGAATATTGTCATGATAATATTGCCATGATAACACAGAAAAGCAAAAACAAAAGTTTACTCCAACATATATAATTAATGGAAAATATAATTTTTAAAGTAGTATGTACTCATTTATGATTTTTTTTAAAAAAATATTAAGTAAAAAATAATAATATTAAATCAGGGCATCAGACTCAAGCTAAAAGGAAAATAGGGTTCTGCTTGAGGTTGGGTGATATGGAGAAGGACCAATCCTCCGGACCACCGTCTCTGATGATGTCACTTCCCGAAGACATCATCATTGACATCTTAGCGCGAGTATCGAGATACAACTATCCAACTCTTTCCCTAGTTTCTAAGCACTTCCGATCACTCGTTGCGTCGCCTATGTTCTCCTCCTCTATAACAGGAAAAACAATGATGACCGTTGGTATATTCTCGAAATCGGCGCTTGATCCTTATTTCTTCGCTTCCCGCTATACCTTATGGTGATGGAAGCTTTGTCGCAGTGGGCTCGAGGATATATGTGTTTGATGGGATTAACAACAATGTCAATGGGACAACGAGAGCGTTAACCATCGATTGTAGATATCACACGGTGCAACCTCTCCCCAGCATGCCTGTGCCAATGTCTTATACAATTGCTGACATAATTGACGGGAGAATCTATGTAATTGGAAACAGATACTGTGATGATGTCCGGAAGAAGGTGATGGTGTCTGTGTTGATATCCATGGCGGTTAAAGAATATTGTGTGAGTTACGGTGGGAGACTGGCTTTGTTTTTTTGACCCTGGAAAAGAAACAAGAGAGATTTGATGTGCAGAGATATCGCTGGAAAGACGTCAAGGAGGAGAGATTTGGGGTGTGATCTTGTATTCACTGTGAATATTGTCATGATAAAACTTCTAGCTGTTATGGTTTGATGTCTCTCATTCATATATAAATTCTGTTTTGTTTTTTTAATTATCCTAAATCCCTTTTTGCTGATATCGTTTATGTAAGTGAAAATAGTTAAGAATTTTAGTGAAATTTTATACTTTATTTTGAACAAAAGACAAAAGTAGTTAAGAATAATGCTATAGACTTCACCCTAGAATTGTTAATTTGGTTCTTATGAGGACATTGTCGATAATAACACATAAAAGCAAAAACAAAACTTTCTTCCAACAAATAAAATAAAACATCCAGTGACCGAATATGTATTTACTCTCTCAGCATAATTAGATACTACTGACATAATCAAAATCTCTCTGTTCCATTCTTGGTCTTTTGCCAGTCTCACGCAGTAACGTACTAAAAGCCGATTATATTTTGAAGCCCACGACTAGCCCAGCTTGACCTATGGTATCCCATATCTGTCTTGGGCGACAAGAAATCAGGAAAAAAAAAAGAAACTGTATATATCAGATAATAATAGTAGTATTACGAGAGGTCATTATCAAAAAAAACGAAAGCTCGTAGACGTTATACACCTTAATGCAAAAACTCTCCTTCATATACCTTAAGTTTTGCTTTTTCATCATATATCCTACATGCCTAAATCCCTCTTTTAGACAATCTGTTGGCCGGAGGTTTTTTAGTAATATTTAAAGAGTTGTTTACGTAGTTTTATTTTCATGGAGTAATTATAATTCTCACACTTCTTCCTCATTAATTAATTGGGAAAACATGAGTTTATCTTCTTATCTGTTTTGATAAATTCTAACCTGAAGTAGATAGAGACTAGAGGAACACCGGCGTCAATCGGTCAATTGAATAAGAGCGTAAAAATTAAAAATTGCAAAGAAACAAACAAATAGAGGGAAAGAAGCAAACATGAATCATCAAGACTTGCTTCACTTAAGTTACTTATTTCTTACGTTAACAAACCTGCTTATATATAAGAAACCAAAGTTATATTTATCATAGTGAAAACAAATTTAGTCTGATGGACTAATAGTAGTGGATTTCCTTCAATGCGTTGGAAACTGTTCATTCCTCATGCATGGAGGTGATAAATAAAGAGATCTATGTCATCGGTTTTATTAAAGATGGTTTTGTCTTTGTCAAAAAAACCTCGATTTCCTAATTTTTATTTTCTCATTAATTGTTGAATTCTTGCGTTTATGGCCATGTGAGAGAGAGAGAGAGAGAGAGAGAGAGAAGCTCGGACGTTCAATATCAAACAGTCATTTGGTCTTCGGAGACTCAAGGCTAGCTAGGGTAGTGTGGCCTGCGAATGTAGTATACAATTTCGCACATGTTTATCCTATTGGCATTACATAAATGATTAAATTTAGCTATACTCGTTAATTAATGGAAAATATAACTTTTAGATATTTTGTTTAAGATATACAAATATTAATTACAGGTTTTACTAAATTCGAGGGAGGAGAAAAATAGGGTTTGGGATTTTTCCTCTCTCTTAGCCTAAAATTAGGGTTCTGCGCTTCTTTCTCTGAGAGATATAAATTGGAGAAGGAGCAATCCACGGAACCACCGCCGTCTGTGATGACGTCACTTCCCGACGACGTCATCATTGATATTTTAGCGCGTATACCGAGATGCGACTATCCAATACTCTCCCTCGTTTCCAAACACTTCCGATCACTTGTTTCCTGGCCTGAGATATACGTCAGGCGATCTTTGTTGGGCTGCACCGAACACTGTCTCTATTTTGTCCTCTGTGACAGAGACAACTATGATAACCGTTTGTATATTCTCCGCCGGAAAGCCAAAGGCAATAGCCGCTTGGTCCTTATCCCTTCGCTTCCTGCTTTGCCTCGTGGTGGAAGCTATGTCGCGGTGGGGTCGAGGATATATGTGTTTGGTGGGGTTAATAAAGATAGGACAACAAGTGCGGTAACCATTGATTGTAGATCTCACACGGCACAACCTCTCCCCAGCATACCTATGCCAATGTATAATACAGTGGCTGATATCATCGACGGGAGAATCTACCTAATTGGAAACAGTGATTGTGGCGATGACCCGAAGAAGGTGATGGTGGTGTTCAATACAGAAACACAAACGTCGGAGGAGCCTGCGACGATAAAGGCAGACATTGAGCTACGTGACACGTATTACCATGGTTGTGTGATGATGGCTGATAAGTTGTATATGAGGGATGATGATAACAGCTTTGTTTACGCTCCAGAGGAAAATAAATGGGAAACAGACGAGATGCTGAATTTAATGAAGTGGAACAATGCGTGTGTGGATGATCAAGTATTGTACTTCTTTGATTGTGGTGAGAACAATTTAAGAAGGTATGATCCGAAGAAGAGGTGTTGGGGAGTGGTGAATGGTGAATGGTTTGGAAGAGTTGTTGGCTAAGACAAGACTTGCATGGTGGCCAAAGACTGTGAGTTACGGTGGGAGACTGGCTTTGGCTTTGTTTTTTTGACCCTGGAAAAGAAACAAGAGAGATTTGGTGTGCAGAGATATCGCTGGAAAGACGTCAAGGAGGAGATATTTGGGGTCAATGTGAGTGGTATGATATTGTTGAATTCATTCCTAAGAATTTTCAGTCTCTGAAAACTCTTAACTATTAAGATTTAATGTGGGAATTATTCATCATATAACTTAAGCGTTTTGATTTTGAAATTGTGTGTTGTTATGTTTTTGGTTCTTCTTTATTCAAAATATAGCCACAACATGCGAATGCAGGGAGAGGGAGAAAGAAAAAAAAAACGAAAAGTCGAGATTCGATAACATGTTCTGAAGTTGACGCGTGGTTTACAACCACACCATGAATTGTGTTACATAATAAAAGAACACTTAACAAAAGAAACTGAACGCGAGATGATAAAAGAGAAATGGGGTCTCTATCCCCAAGTAGAAATCATTCATCAGCCACAAGCATCCGAAGAAAAAAAGGTCTTCAAAAAGTAGATGCAGATTTAAGAGACGCAAAAACACACAAATTTTGCTCTCAAAAAGAGTTTTTCATCTTCTGTTTTTCTCTTTGTTCCGATAAATTTCTCACCTGAAGTAGATAGAGACGAGGGGAATATCCACGTCATTGTCATCTTCATCCTCGCAAGCCACCACTACGTCGAGATGGTGGCGATAAGGCGGCAACTCGACTTTGGCGATATCCCGAGCAAGATCCACAACCTTCTTGTCCATCCTCTCCTTGTGCCTCGGGAACATACTGTTGAACAGAAGACAGCTTCCACAGGAGATGCTGTACGCGCTCAGCCCTTTCTCCTCCAGCCACTGCAACACCTCACGGAGTGTAGGGTTCCCTTTAAGAACCCATCTGTCCCAAACGGTCCAAGCCATGTCACGGTGCTTCACCACCTTTGGAGGAACCGGTTCAGCCATGGAGAAGAGTGGAAGCGCCAGGTTCGCAAATGTGTTTCTGTAATCTTCCACTTTGTGTCCTCCATCAAGGACCTTGTATAGCTCGAGGCAGACCAGACCAGTAGCCATGGCTGTCGAAGTCGCAATGGCTGGGATAATTCTCCCTGCAATGAACTTTGCTTTCAGCTTGTCGACTTCAGGAATGCTGTAGTTCCTCGCCCTCATGTTGGCTAGACCGGCTATCACGTCCATGTGATAGTTCGTATCATCATCCTACAAAAACACATAAAAAATGACCAACACTTGTTTAACCAAGATTTCTAACCATATTTGGTCCAAAACAGTGAGAGAATATTTTACCTTTTCGAACTGAACTGGTTTCATCCTGAAATCAGGAGACAAGTTGCGCCTACACTGCTCGAGCTTAGCAATGAGGTCGTTGATGACTGAAGCGTCGTCCACAGAAGCTGTGGTTAAAGTGGTGGCTGTCTCATCAGTCACGATATTTGCATCTTTCCTTGGTTCAAAGTCTGGGACTATCACTCTGTCAACGGCTTCAGCTGCTTCCTTTGGGTTCTTGGTCCACTCAGGCACAGGGATCCCAAATGTCTCTGCTCGTAAGATTGCAGTCGCCGTGATGAAGTTGAGGAGGCTTGGGTCGGAAGACGAGTACTCGAGCGGACGTGGGAATCTTTTCGGAGCAGACCAGAATGGAGCTCCAGTACTAGTCGCAGCATCTTCAGGAAATGTGTATATCAGTTGCTTGACGCGGTTAACAAAGTAATCCTCAAACCTGGTCGCATATCAAAAATCAAAAATTATGTCAAGGGGATTCTGACAAATATTGTTCCTAAACATCGACTTAGGAGTTTTCAAATGATTAATCAACGAAATAATGTGAGTCCTGGGATGATGCGCATGTCACAAGCATAAGAAGAAACTGTAGCAGCACGTGAGTAAGATACCATACTCTGTTTAGTTCCAACATTACGACTAGACTAGCATGAACCTAGCTATTAAGAGAGTGTTAGTACCTTAGTCTAGCCCAGGTTAAGCAGTCTTGGAAGTTCTCACACTTCTCCTTGTCAAGGCACTCAACAATCCTCTCCAATGTGTCCCTCGCCTGAGCATCGCCAGCACTCATCATTGAGTTAGTGTACTCAACAGGGCTAGAGAGATACGCATTCACTTCAGCGGGAGTCTTCTCAAGGAGACCCTCAAACTCAGAACGAGCCCAAGTTAAGCAGTGATCAATGTTATGCGGAAACGAGTGCACTGTACACATCGGGGCCTGTTTCTCTGGTGGGTCTCTTGAGGCGCCGTAGTTTTCAGTTAGATGTGGAATAACCATCTGTGTGTTGCACTTTGCACCAAGAGTCCCAGACTCGAGGAGAGGCTTCTGGAAATACAAGCACCTAGAGTCAACATAGAGCCTCGCATTGACATTATCCAGAGCATTGACGACAACAGTTAGGTTCTCCCAGAAGGTATCGTTAAATACATTCTCAGTCTCAGCACCAACACGGTTTTGCAGGGCCTCAATGTTGAATTTGGGGTTTATAGCTGCAGCAGCAGAAGCAGCAACTGTGGATTTAGCCTGTCCAATGTTCCAGTCACGGAATAGAAATTGACGACTCAGGTTACTCTTCTCGATAATATCATCATCTGTCACTGTTAGTTTCCCTTGGCTTCCACATGAAACCCCCATCAGAGCCATATTTTTCAAGAACTCGCAGCCAAGAGCACCAGACCCTACGGTGAAAACCTTAGCATTTTCGAGTTTCTGCTGGAACTTGGCCCCAAATACAGATATTTGGGCATCGTACCGGCTGTTCCTTGGCGCAAAGTCACTCGAATCCAGAGGTTCAGAGGGGAGTGACTCCACTGAATCAAAGTAGAAAAACTGCAAAGAAAATGAAAGTTCAACATTAGGATATATTTTCAATTTCTGTTCTTGTCAAGGTTCCAGTAAAGAGAGCTTTGAGTTTTATTTCTTGTGTTCACAATTCTTAGATTGGCATGCAAAGAGTAAATATGTGTTCCCTAAGTAAAAGGAAACTAAATATTACCTGAAAGAGGGGATGGAATTTTCCAGAGCAAGCTTTGACAACCTCTTGTCCAACGATGCCGCCAAACATTGCAGCCATGGGATTCAGAACAGCCTTGGCTCCAAAGGAAAAGTGTCGTAGAAGCTTACGGTCGACATTCTCCACCTTCAAATCACCCTGCCCGGTATTGATTGCAGTGGCAATGGATATAAGCTGCTGAGCGTCTTCTTCTGAGCCAGCAACAGGAAATCTGCCAACTTCAGATGTAAACCGGTCAAGGGCCTGGAATGCTAAGTGAAGGAGTGGAGGCCGATCAAACTTTGCGAAGTCACTGAATAGAAAATCCCCTGGATCCTTAAGCGCTTCCCTCAACGGCTTGAATTTCAGTAGCTTTGGCTGTTTCACTTGAGTGACAATACCACCCTTCACGTATGTACCATAGCTTGTCGTGTCCTCTTCAAGGGTGAATGAATATGGCCGTGCGCTTTTTATCTTCCTTGGCTTCCCATCATTCAATTCCGTCATACCCTCAACTTCAGAGAAAACGACTAAGTCACCATCTTCAAATTCAAGTCTCTCATCGTCAACACAGGAAATAAATGCCTGGTTCCCATTAGAGATGGAGGCAATGATGCCCGTGTGCGGTTCCTCTCCATCAACATCGAGAACAGCAAATTCAGGACCGAAATCACAAAAGACAGAGCCAAAAAGACCCCTGACATCAGTCTTGACAAAAGCGATAGGAGGCTGATGGCTGTGACAGTAGTCATTAAATTCAATTGCTCTTTCCAAGCTTATGTCAGAGAAAACAACAACCTGTTTCACAATAAAGTAGATGAATCAGTGTGAAACCAGGCAACAAGAACCACACACAGAAAGAAAGACGGATCATATATCAATACTTATAAACAATAAGCAACGATTTCCCACTCCTATGTGAATTCAGTCGCAAAGTTATCATAACTCGCAAGTTATCTATCTAACAATCCACTATACAAAATATTCAGACCAGATAGAACCAATGACAAGAAAAATGATTTGTCTACCAACCTGGAAACTAGAAAGATGCTCTTTGGTTAAGCGTGTGGTCAAGCTAGAGACAGCCACAGCATTGTTAAGATCCTGTAACTTCTGAACAGAAGCATCCGCCCTATTCTTGCCAATATCATCCTCAGAGAAAACAAAGTTGCTTGATAAGTCCCATAGCTCTACCACACTTTCATCGTGCAGAGTCACAGACTTCACACCAGCAAGAATAAGATTCTTGGCTGAAACAACCCAAAAAAAAAACAATGAGAAAGGAAGAGTAAATAAATCTAAAGAAGATCGATTAGAAAAGTGGCAGGAATATACGCAACAGCACAAATTTAACATCCAGAACACTGGGAAACTCATGAAACACCAATAAGGGAGATATCAAACAAATCAAGGAACATCGGAATCAGAAAACAATCACAGATCAGGATAACAAAAACTTAGCAACCACAAAGCAAAGTCGAATAGGCTCGTTTGATTTCTAATTACGACGCATACGTAAACCAACAAATCTACAAGTTCAAGTTCCAAAGCAAAAGAACGAAGGAGACCACCATCGCGTGATAAAAGTTAAAGAAATACATACCAATCTCGGCTCCAAGGCCGTGCATCCCCGAGATGAGAACGTTCGAAGCAAAGAGACGCCTCATCGTCTCACGTCCGTACACGGCGAGCTGCCTGCTGTGTAGATCTTCATCGATCTCCTGACGGTTGGAATTACCAATAGCCATGTCGCGCTGCTGGACGAAGCTATCGCCGTTAAACCCGCTGCTGCTGCTACCAGAAGCTACAATCGAGGACTTATCGGACGCAGTAGAATCAGTGTTATCGATACGGCGTCTCTTACTCGGCGACGATGCTAAATCGGAACTGATGCTTTTATCGCTGTCCCCGTTAGCAACTAATGCTTCACTACCTCGCTTGTGAAGCATAAAGTGATGGAAG